CTCCGTAACGGATGTTGATGCAGCCTTGCGCCACCAGGCTCCGCCTCCGCCCAATATGGCTGCTTGCTCGATTCCCACGGTCCCTCTTCTCCTCTTCTCACCACAAGCGCGCAGCCAGGTCGGTGCATGCACAGGTTGCGGCGACGATGCGGCAGTCTATAGCTTCTGCACGACAATCACAAGTTCCAGTGCAATCATCTAGTGCGGTGGCGTTGACCAAACTCGCAGAGAAGAAGAAAGAGTTCGAAGCGGTCGCCGCGCTAGACAGGGCCAGTGCCAAGTTCTTGAAGCGAATGGAGCAGCTCGGCGATGATTTTGAGGTTATGGCGGATGCTGGGACAGGTAGAGCTGTATTCCGTATTTTGCTGAAAGGATGCGGCTGAAGATGTAATGTAGTATGCGGCGAAGTGATGGAGCAGTGGCCCAACATGTTCAGGATTCTGAGTCATTTCCGTATGCCTATCCCAGCTCCTGACCATCGTCTCGTTGGATTGACATAAAATTCTCGTTGTTCCAGTTGCCTCACGCGAAAAGAGCTCAGATCTCGATGAGCAGACATCTCAAGAACCCACCGGCGAGCGCCTCGTGCGCGTACCCATCGAAGAGTTACAGACAACGGACTCATGAGACTCTACAACCACGCGATCCATTACGTGCAGCGATCAATGTGTCCATATAGCGATAGAGCCAGGACAGTCCCGCTAATCAAACTATCACTTTGCCAGTGCAGTCTTCTTCTGTTGTTTCAACGCCGCGATACGCTGTATGCGTGTCAGTAAGCAATCAGAACGCGAGTACCAATGCGCACACTAACCTGTTTTCTCTCCTCTTTCCGCCTCGCCATCTCGGCTGCTTTCTCCTCTTTAGTCATGTACTGCGTGGCAAGTGGCGGGGATGTCTCTCGACTTTGGACAGCATCTACTTTGCCGTTCTCCGATGGCGTTGGCGAGTGCAGTGCTGCCGGGGATCGCACCTGCGCTTGAGGTGCCGCCACTCTGCTCGGAGTGGCTGTCAGGGTAGCTCCCCAGTCATCTGTGCATATTCCAAGGGCAATATAAGAACAAACCCAATTTATGCTTCGCTAGACTGACCGTTTGATCGCGACGGCGTCGATCGACCCGTTCCGTGGATTCCGAGTCCCACAGTTGCGGGGGCCTGCACTCGCGCAGTCTCGAAGGCACCTGCAACAACCAACACGCTCAGCCAGCGCCACACCACACCCAGCCCACCACTCCCACTCACTCCAGCCGTCCTGGTCAGCATTGACGTTCATCAAGTCATCGTTTCCCAGGGGTTGCTCTGCCCCCGCGTCCCTCTGCAACCGCCCCCGCCTTCTTATCTCACTCCGCGGGCACGTGCATGCAGCTGCCCGGGGGCGGCTTGCTCGCGCCGAGCCGAGGTGAAGGAGAAAGAGAAAGGCGACGCGGCTCCAGGGCCGTCTAAAGCCTCATGGCTTCTGCATGTCAGCGCCCGACACAAGGCCCCATTCGATAAGCTGTGTGAGCCGTGCTGTATTTCCAGATGCGTGAGGGCGAACTGTACTAATACATGACAGTGGTATGAGCTCTAGAGCTACTACAGCTACCAAAAGAAGAAAGATAACATATTATGTAAGCAGAAGTGAGAAAAAGGTAAGTCTGCGCGGAGCAGGCTTACAGCTTACTACCCGATCGATCAAGGCGGTGTCGAGAGAAGAAATGAATGTGATGAGAAAGCGTCGCCGCCACATCTTCTGGACTAGGCAAGGCGTAATAGTTCCCACAATGGTCATTTCCTCGGTGAGCATCCTCTGACGATGATTGTGGTCAATTCGTCACACTCCCATTGTGATGCGCAACCGGGACATTAAGAGAACACGTAAAAGTCATTACAGTCGTAAAGTACAATGGATCGTTCAGCAGAGGCCGTTCAGCTGATTCGCAACTTGCAGGCCCTCGCCGACGTCCACGAAGTCCAGCAGGATGAAATTTGGTGAGACTCCACCGCCCAGCGGCGTGCAACCGGCAGCGTCGGCCAGAATACTAAGCCGAATCAGTTAGAGCCTGTCATTTTAAGCGATACAGCCACTTACGAGGCAGCGCTGTTCGTTGTCTCGGCCTGTTCGGGGTCGGGGATGAGGATGCCGGTGTCGAAGAGGTCTATGTCCAAATTGTGGTTGAGCAGGTACATGTGGTCTGCCGCCGACAGTGGGCCGGTGATGCGGTTGATCGAGCAGGGGAAAGACGAATTTGTAGAGTCAAACGGCGGCTCCCATATCTTCCAAGCCATCTCGGTTAGAGACTCGAGCGGAAAAGTAGAAGCACGGGGGTTGACGCACCATGTCGAACTCACGCAGAATATAGGGTAATATAGTTGTGTTCGCGAAGGAATCCATGAAAACGAGGATGCGCGTATTGTTCCCGATGAGCTCGCCTAGGGTCGGCCACTGCGCATGCAGTATCAGCGGAAGTCCTTGTTCCTTACTGGGACAGAGAGACTCACGTCGCTCCGCGCCACCGGGGGGTTCGGGGGCACGTACACTAAATCCAAGATTCCCGACGCCTCGAATGCCGGATTCCACTGAGTGGTAAGCGACAGATTATCATCGTTCGTGAACAAGAATGAGACGACTTCGGTCGGATTTTGGCGCATCCAGGTGTTGACCGTTGAGAGGTAATCCTCGACTGTGCCGCCGTCAAAGAGGAGGCAGCCTGTGAGGAGTTGTCAGTTAAGCAAGAGGAGATTACTCGATGAGGAGATTCACTGGTATGGCAGAAGTGCAACTCCCCATCGCTATTGCTGTGTTGCATCAGTATCTGACACTAGTGCACGAAAGACGTGCACATACTTATGCGCCTCAGCTTGGAGAAAGCGAACTCCCAAGTCCAACTGAGCAGTTAGATTGATACGCTGAGTTGACGCCACTAATTGAGAAGCTTGGTTATTTTTATAGCAAGGGCAGCTGAGGAAAACAGCATACGGTCCAGGGGATCCGTGTCGGCGGTGTATGAATCATGAGCTATACCACCCGGTTAGAAGAGCCACAAGAAGAGCGAAAGCTACTCACATCCAAAGAAAGTAATGTTGCCATATGACCGATCACACAATTCTGCAAACCCGTTGCATACTGTCGTCCTGTACCAAATTCAGCACCAGACTCGAATAGCCTGGGACAGCATCTCCCACCTCTTCTGCTCAGCGTGGAGCGCGGCGGCAAGGCTGCCTGCGGCGAAATTAAGAGATAGTGCAAGATGTAGGAAACGCATAGCGTTCGAGGCTACGAAGATGGACAGGAGAGGTCGAAAGGGAGCGTGGGGTTGTCAAGTCAGCCCATGGCTTTTATGCCAGTCAAGTACCGTAGGCACGGTCGCTGATGTCACGGAAGCACGTGGCAGTACGGCTCAGAAGTCTTGAGAAGCCCACGAAGAGCATGCAGTGTAGTCGCATCCGGATTCCGGAACACGCAACAATCAATTTGACTTTCATAGGTGCCTCAGTGAAGACAGCCCCAGATTTCGCGACCTCGTAAAAGATGTTACCCGCCTCAGACAATGCGATGGTGCTGACACCACCGTAAACGTGTGTCTGAGACAGCATCAGACTCTTCAAGTTCGAGGGGGTGCGACAGCTCGATTGGGACGCCTGAAGTGCTGAGCTTCCGCGATGATGCATCCCATGGTGCGTCCCATGACTAGGAACATCCATCATAAATTCCTTTTGTTGCCACCAGCGATGGGATGGCGAGAAGGTCGCACTGTGCTTCTTTGAAAGTGGGCATATCCGCTCCTCACGCCATCGGAAAATGGCATGGGAAGATGGGAGAGCCTGAGACGTGTGTACTGGTCCAGCTTCACTGCATGTATCAGTGTGGGGAGCATCAGGGGCGATGGTGGAAAGCCAAGACATACCGGCACCTTTCGTATGTTGGAGGATATGCGACAGTCTCGCGGCGCCAGTCGTTGTCGAGCGCGAGCGGAGAACATTCGGCAGCTCGGATCAAAGATTAGCTGTGGAAAGGACTAACAGACATATCGGACATTCCCCAGGCGCCTTTCAAGGTCTCTCAAGCCGTCCCAAGGCGCCAAGAGGGAGACCCTGCTTCCAAGAGCGAACAAACTTATTCACCCGCAGGTGTTTCAAGAGCGGCCCGAGCTCGGTGGTTCCAAGAGCTCTCAAGATCTTTTTAGCATCGCAATTGCTTAGCGGCTACTAAATACACATCCAGGCAGTAGATAGCACACTCATAGCAGACAAATTACAAGTTATAAACATTATTTTATTGCACTGAACTATGACTACTATATGTACAGAGGCGAGTACTGCATCCATGCATGGATTCCCACTCACCGGTACTGCTTGCCATGCTTCATCTCTTGTACATGCATATCTATACACAAAGGATGGTAAGCAAGACAATATGGTTCTGAGAATGCACCTGACATACCTTTTTTCCACTGACTGCTCCGGCAATCTCAACATGTCGGCCACCAGCACCCTGCTGCACTTGAGGTTAGTACACATCCTACAATTTATGAGCATTGTTACTCACTAGGCACAGAGGTCTGTTGTGGGAGACGAGGTGCCGGCAGAGCATAGCGGGAGCGCGCAGTGTGGGCAGCGACGCTGCATGATGCTGATCTCGCGATAAATGATCGGGACTTGGGAGACCTTGAGGCTGTCAGCCATCACACCGGTATTTTATGTTCTTGATATGGCAAGTCAAGAGCGTTCCAAGAGATTCCCAAGGCGCGCGTCTTGAAAGAGCCAAACCAGATTTACGACAATTGGGACTACACAAAAGCTCGCGATCGCTCTGGAAGTGTAACGATGGTCCAGGTTCATTAATTTGCTACGCCGGGACCGCCGTACCTTTTCAGTCTTTTCTCGCTTGCAGCCACCGGCCCCCCACCGCCGGGCAACATGTGTATCCGCACACCCACGCCTCTTGGCTTTCCTCTTGGTACCAGCCCGCATCCATAAACGTTCACAGATCGCCCGAGCTTTGTGTCTCCTGTCTCTCGCAGCCACTTCGCTTTTGCACGACCTCGTCGACGGACTACGATGGTCTCGAGAAGAACAGTGGTCGTCGCGGGCCTGCCGGTGCATGTCTTCTCCGGGACCAGCCTGAGCGAAATCACAGGCAAGGTCGCAATCCTTTTCTTTATCCACGGCCGCGAGGAGACTGCGCGCGAATACGATGGCCGTGCAGAGAGTATCGTGAAGCAGGTAGCAAGCAAAGGGAAGTCGAGCACCGACCTGCTGGTGGTCACCTTCGTACGCGACTTGCGCTTTCTTTTTTGGGCACTGAGTTCACCTTTTCCACATAGGACCAAAGAAACCACGGTGAACGCCTCGTAAACAGAGCAGCCAACAACCGTTGGGGGGAGGGAAACGACAGACATGCGTGAGTTCCGCCGCCTCCATCGTGCATCCCCCCTGTCTCAAAGCATCGTCCGTAGCATTGACATGTACGCCATGTACGGTGCGTATCCTATCTGCCCCTCTTCGTAGCCCTCAAATCGAACAGCGCATCCAGTGGGGACGGTCCGGGACATCTCCTACCTGATCGACTTCCTGCCCTCGTACCTCTTCCCCGGCGGCGAGGCCGACATCGCGGAGTGGGCTGTCGGCGGCATGAGCCTCGGCGGGCACGCGACGTGGTTCGCGCTCCGCCACGAGCCGCGCCTCGGCGTTGGCGTGCCCATCAACGGTGCGCCTCTTCTCCCGTCTGCCCGTGTCAGCACGGCGCACACACTCACATGCGCTGCGCAGGCTGCCCCGACTACCTGCACCTCATGTCTCGGCGCGCGGCCGCGTCGGGCGTCGCGTTTGAGCCGCCGTACGTTCCCGCAAGCTTCCTCGCGTACGTGCGCGCGAACGACCCGGCGGCGCCGCATACGACGCCCGACGCGTCGAACCCGTTCGCGGGGAAGAAGATACTCGTGCTTGCAGGCGCCGAGGACACGCTCGTGCCCTGGGAGAGTAGCGAGGCGTTTGTGAAGAAACTCGAAGTCGGGCCCGACGGCGTGAAGAAGGTGATCCTCTACCCCGGCGTCGGGCACAAGTGCACGGAAGAGATGGTGAAAGAGACGTCAGACTTTGTCTGGGAGCAGATCTTAAGCCGAGGATGACACCAACGCTGTTCGCCCGTAGCAGAGAATACCTGTATTTGGGAAGATAGGGGGCAGCACCCGGAGTCAAGCACGCTACGCAAGTATAGGCGCATCTAAGATATTAACCCAGTCCTACAGTGACGTGCTTGTACACAGAATATATAGACGATAGAGTATCTGAGAAGTAATCTACGAGCTTTTCAGCCTCTGCCGCCACCCGGAGTCTAGTCTATCGAGCAGGCCCTGCACCTCTTTCACAGCGAGCTTCCTCTCTTTGCGCGCCTCTTCCCACTCGCCTTCGGCAATGATGGCGTCTAGGCGTAAAATACTCTGGAGGAGCATCTCACCAAGGCGTACGTGTTCCAAGGCGAGGTCAGGCTGCTTGCTGGGTGTTGCAACCATGCTTTTCGCCGGCCTGCCCGCTGGCTGCGGCGCTGCAGCCGCCGCAGTCGATGTGCCCTGCAGGTTAGACAGGAACTGATCAACGTCCGGCTGCAGCGTCTTGCGGACCTTGTCAAGCTCGGACTGGATTTGTTTGACGGTGTTTTCCTCCGTGCGTCGCTCTGGAGCCGCCTTTGCAGACAATACGGGGTTGTCGCCTCCGCCAATGACAGCAATTTTTGAGTTCTCCTTGATCCCGTAGGCAGAAACTATAATAGGTGTTTAGTCGGTGTCAGGTTATCGATGCAGGGTTGTCAGCCTGAGCCATGCCATGTCATGAGTTTTTTCCCCAATACATGTCCGCTCAGAGTTGCGGTCAGAAGCATGCTTTCATGTGAGACGTTGCAGCATGCATAACATTTATTCTTGTCGAGACGTGCAGCCAATGGTGTAGGCGGAGCACGGAAAACTCTGAGCGGACACGTATTTTTGGGCATTCAGAAGGTAAGCGAGGCCTCAGGGCCGCGACCTCGTTGTGATCAGCGGAAAGGCAAAAGGCTGACGGAACGGAAGAGAAGACGTACTCGGTGCGTTATCGTCCTTCATCACCGCTCCTGCATGCACGAGCTTGAACGAATTCGGCGGCAGTTGGGTGTAGTCGGCGATTTGCTTGCGGACAGCAGATAGTGGGGAATTTGATGCAGGTAAGGGAAAGGTCAGCCTGTGAGCGCACGGTGTGAGTCAGACACGTAGAAGGGACGATCGCGCGATGCAGTTGGAGCGAGACAAGTCTGATGATGAGAAGCACGCGCGGTGCTCACCTCTCCCTGCCCCATTGCACGATGTAGCTCATTTTGAGCCTGTTACGTCCCGAGAGAAGACGTTTCGCGGATGTGAGAGCAATTCCGAGCAGAATTACAGCTATGGGGATGACTGGAAACGGGGCGACCCGTGAGCATAGGTCGTGCTGGCAAGGTAGGGTGGACATACCAATGTGTAGAGGAGTGACGTCGGGTGACAGTGGCATGCGCAGCGCGTAGACGAGATCCGTCCACGCTGCAGGAGCTGAAAAGATCGTAGCGGTAATGGCGGAAGAAATGAAGGTGGAGGTACGACCGAGAGGCGCAACAATTGGCGCTTATTTTGCTGCGGGGCAATTGCTTTTTCGTTGCCGAGTAAGAGCGTTTTGTATGCGGACAATGCCGGAGTAAAGAAGATAAGTAATCGAGCCGAGTTGTTGATGTCATAGCCTAGTTTCTAATCAAAATCTCCTTTCTCCTCATCGACCTCGTTCCTTGCGCCTTGCTCTCACCCCCATCACCGTCGTCGATAGCGATGTCGGAATCGCCAGCACCGCCAGATGCAACGTTCGTACGGCCCACCGCGCCGATGCGCAACTCCACGGCCACCTCACGTCTCCTCGCCAACCGCAAGCCCATGGCGTCCACACCCATCCCACCGTCCTTACAGGCAAAGATGGCTGCTGTATGTCACATACTCACCATCGCGACTCATTCGGTCAGCTTGCTCAACCTCCGTTAGATGGCTGCGCGCAGCCAACAGCCGGGGAACACCATGGATGCCACAACAAATGCGTTCCAGAGTATGACGCTGAGAGATAGGCCAGTGCACCCGATGCTACGTTCTGCACAGTCTGCGCCTTCAGCGCCTGGAAAAGCCCCTGGCCCGCTCAGCGGCTTAGCCGCACGCCGTGCAGCGCCGAAGCTCAAGGTCATGGACATTCCAGGAGGGTCGCTGATGCCCTCAGGCGGTGGCCCAAGCAATGCCGGTCTCGGTGGCGGAAGGCCCAATATGGACGAGTTGCCGAGAAGATCGCCTCAGCAGACATGGGGCACGCCGTTCTCAAACTTTGGCAAGATAGTGTGCGTGTCATATTTCCCTCTTGCTCGGGCTCGCCGTGCTTAGCCGCGCTTATATAACCGCAGCGATCCATCGGGTGCACTTAACTTCAACGGGAAGGCGGTGCTTCATGCGAAAGGTGTCGACTTTTCCAACGGAGTCTCATTTGCTATCAACATGACCCAGCTGCAGCTCGAGGAAGAGCTCGGTCGGGGTAACTACGGCACTGTAAAGAAGGTCTTCCACAAGCCCACCAAGGTGTATATGGCGATGAAGGTTTGTCCCGACGACGCATTGCTGCCGCCTAGATCCTAAACCCCCGCAGGAAATACGCTTGGAATTGGATGAAGCGAAACTGAACGCCGTCATCATGGAGTTAGACATCCTGCACCGCGCTGCCGCACCAGAAATTGTCGATTTCTACGGAGCATTTTTCATTGAGTCGTAAGTCACCAATGTGTTCATGCGCTGCGGAAGCTTATCATATGTTTCATAGCTGCGTCTACTACTGTATGGAGTACATGGACGCGGGTTCGCTTGACAAACTCGAACAGGACGGCATACCAGAGCCAGTTCTCGGTCGCATAACGGGGAGTATGGTCCGTGGGCTCAAGTTCCTGAAGGACGACATGCAGATCATTCACCGTGGTACGCGTGATTGGTTCATGAGCTCGCGCATATCCTCATGTTTGCTTTAGATGTAAAGCCGACGAACGTTCTTGTGAGCAGGAAGGGCGAGGTAAAACTATGCGACTTCGGTGTCTCGGGGCAGCTCGAGCGATCGCTTGCGAAGACGAATATTGGCTGTCAGAGCTACATGGCTGTACGTGCTTCTCTTTGGGACGAGCCATTCTATTAAGTTCAATAACAGCCGGAGCGTATCAAAGGAGAATCGCAGAACAACCTCGGCACCTACACCGTCTCGTCCGATGTTTGGTCACTAGGCCTTTCCGTCATAGAGATGGCGCTGGGCCACTATCCATATCCACCAGAGACGTACGCAAACGTGTTTGCTCAGCTTACGGCAATCGTCCACGGAGAACCACCAGAACTACCTGAAGAGGGCTATTCGGATGAAGCGAGAGATTTTGTGGTGCAGTGTCTCCACCGTGTGCCTGAGATGCGAGCGTCGTATGCTGAGCTTATAGTCCGTTAATTCTGATCTCTATCTAATCGCACGATACTAATCAAACATCTCACCGCAGGAACACCCCTTCCTGGTGCGCGACCGCACATTAGAGGTCGACATGGTTGGATGGGTCGCGAAAGCCATCGAGTCTCGCGATGCTCGACAGCGAAAACAGCAGGAAGAGCAAAAACATCAACAGCAGTCATCAGATCAATCGCATACTCCGTCTGAGCAATAACTACCCTATCCGTCGCCGTTCGCGTTCTGTCTCTGCGAGCCAGATTAAATTCGTCGCCCCGGCTGTAACCTACAGGTGTATCAATGTCTTTTTCGATGTAGCCTTACTCTTCCCCGAAGTCGGCGACACCCTGCCACCCGCATCTCCATCGCCAATATTATCTGGTCGTCCCGAACCGCCCAGGACCTCAGACCCTCAACCCTCTTTCCTCGTTCGCCTTCATCCCAGTTCACCCCCTCTCGCCTCACTGCGCGCGCGTCCGGCATTCCTGCTATCTCAAACACGCATTTATCACAGTTGTTGATCATTCCTCAATCCCTTTTCGGACACTAACGGGAGCGGGGTATGCCGGTCTACCATAGTAACTTCTCACGCGTGTTGAATTCGGGACCTGTCGAACGGGTTGGAGACGATGGAGATGTCTCGCCGGACTCGGGAGCGTAGTGCTATGAGTGCTCTACGCGCGCACAGCGGGTTCTGTGCGTAGAGTATGAAATTGGACATATATTCTGCCGGTCTTAGACCTCATTACCGCCTCACATTGCTGTCATACACACTGTTATTTGTATATTCGCGCGATCATCTTCCTTACATCCCGATTTCCTCATCACCGTCTTAGTTCATGTCCACTGTCTGTGCAACAGCAGTCACCCTGCGTAATCTGATGTATGTGTGCGCTGGACGCGAGTTGTGTTTGTGGTCAGACGAGCAGTTTACCAACGTTCAAGCCGCCCGTCAGACCGTTATCGATGGTGAGTATCTCACCGTTTATGAAGGCCGATTCATCTGGCAAGATCAGTGAGCCTTCTCATCCTACTCGGAAGGTGGAGCTTACCTGAAGCCAGGAACAAGACCGTGTTCGCAATTTCTGTACGCGGCATGAATCTTGTGAGCTCCTTGTACGCCTTCGCTGGAAGCGCGTGTTGCGGGACGCACCAATAGGACCGCAGAAGATATCGGGCCGTTTGGCGACATGTGGCTGAAATGCAGCTGGTAAGAAATCCGTTCCCACAGGCCCTGGCGCAATGGCATTGACCCGCACTCCCGTGCCGCGCGCATTGTGCACGTGTGCGCCGCTCATCGCCAGGTTGTGTATCCTTACCGGAATCATGTCAGCGATTTCAGGCGTAAGACGGGCGTTGGTAGGGGAAAATAGCTCACGCGGCCTTACTAGCTGTGTCTGCAGGCAGGGTTTGGTGTCTTGCGTGTCAGAAAGTTGCCTAAAGAAAGGCCCCGAGTATGCAACTCACATTCCATGGCAGCGTGTGTGCCACGTATGCCCCCAGCTGCGAGGATTGACGTCAGCGGTAAGGTCTTCCATGAAGCTTCAGACCCCAGGCGCACTTGAACCTGTCATGATGATGCTTCCGCCAGCTTTGAGCTTGCCGCTAGCCTCGTTGATCTTGGCCATCGCTAGTGGGGCATATTTGAGCGCGAGGAACACGCTGGTATGAGCAGGTCAGGGTGTAGTGCGTGGGATGAACACGAAATAGAGACGAACGAGCCTACGTTGATTCTCAGGCACTCGACGAAACCCGCGAGGGGGGTCTGGTCGTACGAAGGTGCCTTGGCTCCATACGTCGCTGCCTGAATAGCATGTCAGCATTAATCGCGCCGTAACATGCTGCAGATGCGTACATTTGCGAAGAAGACGTCGAGCTGGCCAGACTCTTTCACTGCGCGCTCACAGAGACCCTTCACTGCATCTTCGTCGGCTACATCCGCCTGCACAAATGTGATCTGATTTGCACATCAATCCATGTCGCTGTTGAATCGCAAGAAGGCCAGACCTTGGTGTCAATGTACGTCTTCTCAAACGTCTCCCGCAGGACCACAAAGTTTTCGGGGTTAACGTCTGCAGCGTAGATATGCCGGGCGCCTAAAATCCAATGAGGCTTGGGCGTCATGCATGAGAAAAGTCCCTCGCACCTTCGTCTGCAAAACGCGCTATTGTCGCCCAGCTTTTCAACTCTGTGAGCTCAGAGGGTACGTTGAGGGCCGTATCTCTGAGATGACACACCCGATTCCGCGCGGCGACCCTGCACCGGTGACGATGCAAACTTTGCCTTGCAGTCTTCCAGGTCTAGAGGTCAGTTTGTCAGCCATGACGAACGAGGTCTGAAGGATGCTGTCCAGACTATCGATAGGCATAGCGTTCCTATTTATACTGGTGACGACTCGGCATCGTCCTCCCGCTGCTGAATGGCCATCGTGGCCACCGTGCGATTTCGTCAATCTGGAAGCTTCGGTGGGAAAGACAGGTAAATGTAACGACTCGGAAAGTCGTCAAAGCGAAGCTCCTGCCGCAAATTACAGCAAGGCACTGTAGCCTGGGCCCGTAGAGGCCAGGGACGGATGCAAGAGTTCGCACTTAAACGCAAATCGAGGGAGTCACGGTATCATACCAGTTCGCCGAGGGACGCCAGCCACTGAATAGCAGGCATCTGTTCGACTAATATCAGCATTTGAATGCAGACCGCTTTAGCTCACCTGAGAAGTCTTGAGCCATTCGTGCTCTGTCAAATTTTTCATTTTTCATAAGTAAATTGCAGACACTGCATGGAGAGACAGTGATGCAAGAAACTATCGTCGCCGTCATCAAATGCTTAACTCAGTACCGTATAGAAGCGTGATATAAAGGCAAATAGTGAACAATTCGTCGATTTGTTGAACCAGTGTGGAGTTCTCTGAACGCTCGGGATCGATGTAAATCGCCCTGGCTTGCCGGGTGGCCTGTGCTGCGGTGCAGAAACCTTCGAGCAGCTGATATTTGCATAGGCCGTAAGTAGTAGCATGGAGGGTGGGGAACGCACCCTCCGCTGGGACCGCTCCGTCCATTTTAGTCTAATGGCAGTGAGAAACGAGAAGGGTATTCTCTCGCTTGAATCCATCTCACACAGTAAACGAACAGAGGCTAGTTCAGGTCAAAGGGAGAGGGGGGTCCGTAGAAGCCGGTGGTAGACAGTAAAGCGATAGGGTACTGCAGACGGGAGCATCAGCGAGACCAGATTGCCAAGACTGTGGGACATAACGGTAAGTTTTATCTATGTTTCTCTGACCAGTTGCGTATTGGTGTTGCTTGTCAACTCGTTCCAGTTCGCCATGCTAGTCTCGATAACTTGGAAGGGTAGCTAGCGGGCGATATCTGACTGTCCCGGTTTCTTCAGCGTAAGTATGAAGGTGTAACGGTCCCCATGTGGCGCCACTCCGTACGCACAACCCGTTTCAATGGCCTGCCGTCGGCGGGGGTCCTGGTTTGTAGCATCAGCTAGTGTACGAAAGATCACACTTTGCAGGGGGAGATAGCAGAGATAATGGCATATCTATTGGTAACTCAATCTCCGAATATCGAAGGCCCCCTATAATGAAACGAGGGATATGCGACGACGAAAGGACAATACTGAAGCAACTCCGTCCTAAGGACACTTCCAGAGGAACGATGGTGTCGCCTAGTAGACCTGCAGGCGTAGAAACGTCGTTCTTGGTGTGGAGCATAGATAAGTGATGGCCTCCAGGTGTATCTCAGCCTGTGCAAGTGAAGTACAGGGAGTTTTGGCACCATTTTGGAACACTAGACATGAAGATGTTAACGTTACAGATCATCTGTATGTTTAGCACTCCTGAGTGTTAGCGGAGCTCAATAGTTCAACATTCGCATGGATCATGCATGTATCATCCCGAACAAACTCCCAAAACACCAATGCATGAATGATTACGAGGGCCAAAAAGCACTTTCGCAGCATAGTCGGCGTGCCTCCACTTTGGTCGCGCGTACGATCAGCGAGAGGCTTTGTGTGCTGAGCTCTGTCTTAGAGAACATGCAAGGTAGTCCAATTAGGAGGTAAAGAAACGTGTTCATACAGATGCACCGCAATGCTGCGCGCTGCTTCTGGGAGCGAGCCGGCGGAGTCGAGACGCGATGGTCGTGGCAAGAGGAAGAGGCGCGACGTGTCCGTGCTGCGCTCACTTGCGGACCTGCCGGCGACCACCACTCTTACGCCCAGCTTTTCACTCGACGTCCAAACGTTTTACTTTGGGGCTCCTTGATACCCTTTGCTTGACTGTGACATCTCTTATACTTGCCCTGGATGGATTACCTGCGGAACCTGGGCTCGGCAGCGGTGTCTTCACTTGTGCAAAAGTCTGGGCTAACCCTTCCCTTCTCACTTGGGCCTAAAGTCACGTCTTACGAGGGCAAGTCCATATGGACGTTATATGAAGGAACGAAACGCGTATGTTTTCCTGTGCTTGGGCTACCGTATGACTTGAGCTTGCAGACTAGGACGACGGAAGCGCGATCTCCGTCTTTGAGTTTGACGCGAACCAGCCCGGGAAGAGGACGTATCTACCCCTTGCGAAGAATTCGTTGCGGAAGCTGCGTACTGTGCGCCACCCAGACGTCCTCAAATTTTTGGATGCAGTCGAAACAGACACCACTGTCTACATCATGACGGAGCGAGTTCGCCCTCTGGCCCCTGCGATACAGGAGCGCGCTTCCAAAAGTGCACAGGAGAAGGAAGACTGGCTGCTGTGGGGCATACATCGTATATCAGTGTGTCCAGATCTGTCTATATTGTCCCGCAAGCTTACAGGATTCGTTCTCTCAGATAGCACTCGCCTTCGTGAATGAGTCCTGCACTTCAACTCACGGCAACGTACGTGTCGACTCTGTGTTCATCTCCCCGTCTGGTGAATGGAAGCTGGGTGGGTTCGAAGTTCTCAGCAGTCCGAAAGACGACGCCGCCATCTTATATGTGCGTAGCTACCGCAGTGTACCGTACCTCAAGACCAATGAATATATTTCCTCCAGACTATGGGGAGCCTGCTGCCCGATGCCTCAACATATGCGTCGCCAGAAATCAAGAAGGGAGGCTGGTCTGCCGTTAAAGAGTGAGACTATTCTCTGTGTCTATGGGTAGTATCTCAACAGCTAGACAGGAATTCCGTAACTGCGGCAGATGCTTACGCTCTCGGCCTGCTAATACACTTCGCCTTTAACCCTTCACATCCGCTCCCCGCTACAGCGCAGCCACCACATCCACCTCCTGCGCCATCCTCGCGTGGATCCATACCACTATCGGTCTTCCCGTCGTACAAACGGCTACTGAACCCGAACCCGAAGGCACGTTTGTCGTCAAAACACTTCCTCGAGCTCGGCATGGCCGAAACCGCGGGCGAAGGCTCGGGTTTCTTCTCCACGAACCGCCTTGTGAAGGTCTGCGCAGGACTCGACAACTTCAATATCGCTAGCGAGGCCGAGAAGGCGTCACTCTTGAGGTAACGATCCCATGTCTTGGGATGTGTGGGTTGACTCATGAAATCATGTCTAGGATATTGAAGGAATCCGCTGCGTCGCTCCCGCCAGAGTTCGCATCGTATCGCGTCCTGCCGTCACTAGCTTCTGCGCTAGAGTTCGGCGGTGCGAGCGCTGCATCCATCCTCCCTTTAGTGCTGCAGCTCGGGAAGAACGTCCCACCACAAGACTACGCTTCTGTTATCACTGTGCATATCGTGAAGCTGTTTGCTAGCCCAGATCGGGGGACGCGTATGGCACTGCTCGATAACTTGCAAGAGTACGCCGATAAGTTGGATAAGAAGACTGTGAGCGACAAGATTTGGCCGAATCTGGTGAGGTCACGGCATTTGAAACTCTGAGGTGACTCTAATGCAAGAGCAGCAAACGGGGTTCAACGACACAGTCCCAGTCATTCGCGAAGCAACCATCCGTTCTATCATCTCCATCTCTGACAAGGTAATATGCACCTCCTTTGGCGACTCTGATCAGGGCTAACTTCCTGATCTCAGTTCAACGAGCGCATTCTCAACAACGACCTCCTGCGCTTCCTCGCTAAGATGCAAGGCGACCCGGAAGCCTCTATTCGCACGAACACCTGCATTCTCCTAGGGCGCCTCGGCCCTAACCTTGGCTACAACACGAAGCGCAAGGTACTCGTGGCCGCCTTCGCGCGCGCACTCAAGGACCCGTTTGTGCACTGCCGCGTTGCAGGCCTCATGGCGCTCATGGCGACGCTGGAGTGCTTCGAGACCGAGGAGATCGCGACGCGTGTCATCCCGAATATGTCGTTTGCGCTGGTAGACAAGGAGAAGTAGGTGCTAGCGTTTATTGCACGATATGACAATTTATCATAACGGGCATAGGCTAGTCAGGGACCAGGCGTTCAAGGCGATGCAATTGTTTGTGAAGAGGCTCGAGGAGCATGCGGCCACTATGGTGAGTGGCCGGTAGCAGTTCGTGAACTTGAATACTGAGCAATTCGTTAGCCTGAGGTGGCCGGACCTGAAACTGAGCTGCCCGCGATACTTCAGGCTGCGACGTCGCCAGGTGGTCAAACGACGTTAGTGAACTCTGCAGCCGGTGCTGCAGGGGCGCTAGCGGGCTGGGCGCTCTCATCACTCGGAAAGAAGGTGCGTGCATACATTCCATGGACTCCGTCCTGGCCGTGCCGAACACCCCGCACAGCTCGCACCCGCAGACTTGCAAAGCACGATGAGCGCCGTCCCGCAGGCAGCGGCGGGCGACATCGACCGCCCGACGTCCGCGCCGCCGGGAAGTGCCGACACGAATGGCGTGCGCCCGCCACCGTGGGCAAACCTCTCTCCGGCGCTATCGGCGCCCGGCCGCGTATCGTTAGCGTCTACGTCCAGGTCCGTGAGCAAGGCGAAGGGCATGCGGCTCGGCGCGAGCAAACCAGCCCCGGGCAGCAGCATGCACATGCCCGCCGAGTGGGCCGAGGAGGCGGCGGCGGAGGCGGCTGCAGAGGAGGCGGGACAGAGCAACCCCTGGGGTAACGATGACCTGATGGACGTCAATGCTGACCAGGACGATTGGAGTGAGTGGTGGGTTGGTAGTGGTGTGGCGCTGGCTGAGCGTGTTGATTGTTGCAGGTGCCTTCGAGACTGCGCCGGTGCAGCCCCCCGCGACTGTGGGACTCGGAATCCATGGAACGGATCGATCAATGTCGTCGCAATCAAACGGTCAGTCTAGCGAAGGATGAGTTGCATTTGTTCTTATACTGATTGTGAAACATGCTCAGATGACTGGGGAGCTACCCTGACAGCCACTCCGAGCAGAGTGGCGACACCTCAAGTGCGGGTCCAGTCCCCGGCAGCACTGCACTCGCCAACGCTATCGGAGAACGGCAAAGTGGATGCTGTCCAAAGTCGAGGGGCATCCCCGCCACTTGCCACGCAGCACATGACCAAAGAGGAGAAAGCAGCCGAGATGGCGAGGCGGAAAGAGGAGAGAAAACAGGTTAGTGTGCGCATTGGTACTCGCGTTCTGATTGCTTACTGACACGCATACAGCGTATCGCGGCGTTGAAACAACAGAAGAAGACTGCACTGGCAAAGTCATACTTTGGGTAGCGAAACTGCCTCGGCTCCCTCTCCATATGAACACATTGATCGCTGCACGTAATTGATCGCATGATAGTAGTCTCATGAGTCTGTTGTCTGTAACTCTTCGATGGGTACGCGCACGAGGCGCTCGCCGGTGGGTTCTTGAGATGTCTGCTCATCGAGATCTGAGCTCTTTTCGCGTGAGGCAACTGGAACAACGAGAATTTTATGTCAATCCAACGAGACGATGGTCAGGAGCTGGGATAGGCATACGGAAATGACTCAGAATCCTGAACATGTTGGGCCACTGCTCCATCACTTCGCCGCATACTACATTACATCTTCAGCCGCATCCTTTCAGCAAAATACGGAATACAGCTCTACCTGTCCCAGCATCCGCCATAACCTCAAAATCATCGCCGAGCTGCTCCATTCGCTTCAAGAACTTGGCACTGGCCCTGTCTAGCGCGGCGACCGCTTCGAACTCTTTCTTCTTCTCTGCGAGTTTGGTCAACGCCACCGCACTAGATGATTGCACTGGAACTTGTGATTGTCGTGCAGAAGCTATAGACTGCCGCATCGTCGCCGCAACCTGTGCATGCACCGACCTGGCTGCGCGCTTGTGGTGAGAAGAGGAGAAGAGGGACCGTGGGAATCGAGCAAGCAGCCATATTGGGCGGAGGCGGAGCCTGGTGGCGCAAGGCGCATCAACATCCGTTTACGGAGGCTACGGCGGCCTCGAACCTCTCCGATCCCCGGGCCAGCATGCCCGATGAACGCAACAAAGGCATTCCTCGGAACGTCGCATGCATTCAAGTTTTGGTATATCTGTATACAGGCTAGATTATGACGCGGACACCGCCTGCGACGAGATGTGGCG